AGTGTCCCCAGGAAAATGGTTTTGTTTGTTTTCTCCCATAGCAACTTGCCATTGAGTTAAATCACTGAAATCTAAAACCGACATTAAAAAGTTTGGATTAATTTTTCCAGTGGAGCACTGTTTGGGCAGCAAATGCCAACAGGAAAAGCATTTCTGTAGTCCTCTGTCAGCAGTCTGCTTGATCAGGCCCAGGCAATTTCACACAAAGCACTCTGTGCTGATTCAGGTAAGGAAATTTCACAAGAAGGAATCTCTTATGATTTCTGTGAACCAAAAACATTAGCAGTCCAAGGTGTGATCACATGAATTTTTAAATACAAAATTACTTTTTTTCTGTGATTGATCTAAAGCTGTTTTTAATAGAGGGGAGTCTGAGAAAGAAACAACAGAGCTGTTTGTTTAGGTGCATGACATATTAAGAGTTCTAAGATCACAATATATTGTCAAAGCAGGATTGGAAAATTTCCAGAGACAGTAAATCTAAATCTAAATGCAGAGTTTGATGCAGTGTCCTAGCACAGTGTGGAGGTAATCTTGCATAGTCAATCTTGTCCTTTGTGCAAAAGCATGTTTAACATTGTAATATTTGCAAGAGGAAAATTAAAATTACATTCTGCATACACTAAAATATCAAATTAACTTTTACTTCTGCTACATCCAAGAAAATGTGTTTCAGAACTGTAACTGAAATTTTAGATAGATTTTAGATTACTAAATCCAGTACTGCTGCATATCAATTCCCTGCATTTCAATTAGTGACATGTGTATAGGCACTTATTGAAAGATAAATTTTCAGGCTAGTTTTAACTTTCAAAACAGATTCCTGTATTATTTTGATGATTATTTTTTATTATCTTATTGATAATGAGTGGACAACAAAAATATGTGTGTATGATTTAGACAAGCAGTGATTATAGATTATCTCAACGATTCAGGTGTTTTGCTAAGTTCAGTCTTTCAGCATTCCCTTTCTTATTTCTCTGTCTGTTTCTTTCATCCCTACCTGCATGCAGAATTTTTGTACCAGCTGGTATGTCTTTTTTTCATTCCACCATTCTTCCAGGCTCTTGCATATCCAGGTTCTTATTTAAAGTAACTCTTTCCAATAAAACTAGCAGGCTCTTTCCTTATGTTTTGAGGATTATTTGACCCTTGAGATTTAACTTTTTTGTCTATCATCCCTCACATTTCTATAACAGAACTTGAAGAGCTGCACTAATGAGCATTCTATTAATTGCAGCTTATTAATTCAGCTAAGGGTAAACACATTAGAACGACTGGAATTTACAAATTCAACTGTAAAATCATGGCCAAAGTTTGTTGTTTAGTAGAATACCAGGACTGTATTCTGACTAAGTTAACTATCGTAAATAGCTGACACACAATATATGAAGATTTCTGTGTTAGCCTCTTTTGGATTACACTGATGTGGCTGGGTACCAAAGAAGTATTAATGAGATCATTGTCAAACTCCAGTGTTGTTCTGACACAGGTAAAGTAAGATATTCTCTCTTCCCTTCTTTAAACATAGTCAAAAGGGTAAAGAAAAAGACATCTGAAAGAAGAATTTCAGGTATTTAAAACATTGGCCTAAAGTATGCACATTATGTGTATTCTAATCACCCCAGTGCGTAATCCTACAGCCCCTTAGGTCTCTGAGTTTTCTTCCAAAATAAGGCCAAAATAGGCACAGCAAAATTTGGCATTTTTTGAGTTTTTGCTCCTGAACCTATCACCATGAACAAACAAGCTTTCACCCTTTTCAAGTAATATATTTGCTTAGAGTATATATGAAATGAACACCTCATGAAAGTTTAGCATTAGTCAAAAAGGTATCATAAAAGGAAAATTTAATTTTTTGTTTCTCCCCACTAGATCACCCTTGTGGAATGTGGAATGACACATGGCTGTGTGAACTGGCTCTATTGCCTCCATGTTTCTGCCTTTTATCTGGAGTGCTGTCCTTACAGTATTCAAATGTGCAGTGAACTAGAGATCAGGAAGGAACGTATTTTTCAAAAAGCACTGAGCAACACTAGAATGTGATAAGGAGAAAGAGAAAATAAAGAGCACTAGTAAAAAAATCTCAATTTAAACATAATTTATACAATTACTATTACAGTGTCATTTCTTTACAGTATCTTGTTTTTCTTTAGAATTATTACTGTAGCTCTTGGCATATCTCCCCTCCCCCCCAGTTTTATATTTCTCTTCTAGCACTGCAGCAGTCCATGCAAAAATCTAATTCATTACATACTGCCAAAAAGTCACAGAAGGTTCAAAATTCTTTTTATCAACTCTCAGTGTAATGTTTGAGGAAGAACAGATTGTTGTAATATTCACACAGAATCCCAGAATTCTTAGGGTTGGAAAGGACCTCTGGAAATCCTTTAGTCCAACCCCACTGCTAAAAGCAGGTTACTCATACTCACAGTTGTGATGTCTTCATAAGCAGCAAGTGTATTCCAATCTGGAAATGTGTCCTAAACTGCAAACACAGGGAGAGGCAGGATTCCAATATAGACAGAGTGAGATTAAAGACACAAAGGAGGTCAAATGTTGATAATCAAAATAATAATACACATTTACTCATTATTAAAGAAAGAGCAAGAAAGAAAACAGAAAAGTAGGAAAAAGCAAAGAGTTACAGAAAGCCAGAAAGATAATCACCACTAAGAATCTGTGGCGTCCTGTGAAGATCCTTCTTCCTTTGTCTGTTGGTGAGGAGAGCTCTGATAAACTTGCTGTGCATTCACTTATATAGAGGCTAAGTGTTTCTTTATGGCATCAAGTGGGCATTCCATTCCAGCTTGGAGCTATGGACACGGTATTCACAGGATATTCCCATGACAGCCCAGTCAGCTGGCCCTGCAGTTCACTCACCTTTAATAGCAGGGCACATTCACTGCCACTATCATGGGCTGTCACAGCCATTGTCAATGGGTGCTCATGGCTCCTTATCACACCAGGTCTTCAACTGCAGATCTTATCAATGGCTGGGCAATGGTGAAACAAATCTCTCTTTAACAGTTCTTTTACTGAGTTTTTAGTATTTTCCTCCACGTTTATATAATTTCTGTGGTGCCTACAGTCTGGTCTTTTAAATATGGAACAGTTTGTTGCATCTTTCTTTAATAATCATGACCACAAATATAATTTCTCTGTGAATATATTCACAAATAAATTTCTCTCTGTAAAATCCTACTCTTCATTATTATGTGTTTTTTCCCGTATTTTAAAATCCTCAGCCTGATTTCCAATTAGGCATGAGCAATTATTTTCAGACCTCATCACCATACACGCATAAAGACATGTGATAGCACATAGATTTTAAAGATGACATATTGAGCATTTTTAAACAGCTGACGGTATCTGAAAAATGTGGTCACTGAAGGTGTGGTGCCCAGTAATATGGGTGAAGTTGAAGCCCAGAGTTTAAGACCTCAGTTCTGGTTATCTACATAACACAGGGATTTGATGTCTGAGGTGATATGGTGCCAGTGCTTTAAGGAAGCCTGCTCCTGCTGTTCCTTTTCAGAGTGGAAGGAGTACCAAACAGGTTTTCTATTTTGCTGATGCTGAAAAGGGAATATATGCAGGTACCTGTCTGCTGGGACATGATATATGTCTATTGAAATCTATCACTATTTGAAATAAGTGAAAGTCTCAAGACTTTAAAGAGTTACAATCTGACTTACTGAAAGGGTGGAGACTTCTGAATCATTAAGGTACCACTGAAAAGTTTTAATATCTCCAGGTCTTTCCATACTTTTTCAAATTAAGAATTGGGAAGAATAATGTGGTTGAGCTGTTCCATGAGTGATACCCTGCGAGGGGGAAGAACAGTTAAAATAACCTGACTCTCCATTCATTATAGGATGCAATGAGGGGGCCAGTCTCAGGTCACATTGTGCACCTTTCCAGATCCTGTAGACCGTTCAGCTTTACCTCAGGACCTACTTCCACAGTCAGCTTTAAGATAACGATATCATCATAGTTGTCTATCCTCCTTCCATTTACCTGAGGATTTGATTGTAGCAATGGGGAACAAAGATAAATGGACTTTCTTCTTGCTTGCTCCAAAGAAGATTGTTTATTGCAGCAAACCAAGTCTTTCTATGCTCTAAACTTATCCAAAACCAGCGTGCATTGGCTGGCTGCCACTGCAGTCTCACTCTTCACACATCCCTGTACCCAACCAGCTCTCTGATCAAGTGGTGTCCATGTGTCTTCCCAAACAATCACTGCCTCACATACGAGGTGACCACACACCAGCCATACAGCCCGAGCTCTGGTTACAGGACCTGTTTTTCACCTCACCATTAGTCAAATCTTTCCCAGAGCACTTTCTGTTGCTCACCAGAAGTGAACAGGATTTCTTATCTCCCGCATTTGATAAAATAAAAACTTAACAGGGTGTCCATCACCAGATCCAAGGCCTTTTGATAGAGATTCAGAAGACTTTAAGGAGGTCAAATGCCTCCAGAGCTGAAATAGTGTTGCTTACTATCTTGTTCTTTGTGGGCTTCACAGAAAGCAGTGGTTAGAGTTTGGAAGGTAATTACTGAGGTGGAGTCTTGAGCAGCGGCCAGACCATAAACCAGTATTTCAGAGTCTTTGTCTATATGTTTTTCTGGGCAGTACTAATGACTCCTGCCAGAAAAGGACTAATGCATCTACTACCAACTACTTCTGGGTCTATTTCACCAGTTCACAAAGGAAAGTCTGCCACAGTGTTAGAGCCCTGTGTATAGCTGAGTCTCCTGCTGAGTCATCCTGAGGGATGATATGGGTGCCTATTTATGGCACCCAGTCTCTACTTTGGGGACACCAGTTATTGATTGAGATAATCTGAAGAGTTGTCTCACAGAAGCTTCTGTTTAAGCAATAGAGATGTTTTGGCTTGTTACTAAAAGTCAAGGATGATTAGAAGAGTTCTTTACTGATAGCAGCAGGGCTGTACTTTTGCTTTTGCAGCTACAGGTGACAGAGCCTAGAAGGTTTGATGTTTGAGGTGTTTTTGGATGCCTGCGTGTAGAGGAAGGGGTCAGCCCTTGCCTTGTGGGGCAGTGAATTGCCCCACTCCCCCCACCCTTAGAGCCAGTGTCCCAGCATGGCAGAGCTGCCAACAATGGCACACCAGAGGCAGGGCTCCACCCTACCTTAAGCCAGCTCCTGAGTGGCCAGATGACCAGCCAAATGAGCCACCTGGGAGGAGGGCCCACAAAAGCCAAGGGGCATTTAAGCCCAAGCAGCAGGCTGGCTGGCATATGGCTTTACCCTCCCTGATCTTGGACTTTCTGTCTGAGCACTACTGGAACCCAGGAGCTGAGAACTATATGTGTGATTTTCTATATCTCTTCTGTCTTTCTTGCTTTCTTCTTCCAATTCGCTCTTCTTGGAACATATTAAGTAACTTAAGATTGAACAGGTTTATAGTTTACTATGTTGGCTGGGCCAAATTAATGCCCACGTGTTTTATTATTAATTGGATATTGTACTAAATCTTTTGCCAAAGTTGTCTGATTTTTCTAAAGTTTGCCAGTGAACTTTTGTCTTGTTTTGACTGCTTGAGAATATCTGACTGGCATTTCTCCCATGCATCTAACCCAGAGTACAGGAATGACTGTAAGTCCTTTTATTGGGGCCTTACAACAGGTAATCCATGACTCAAATAAACAAGAGTTCATGTGTCTTCTGGTGGCCAAGTGACAGGAGCATACCACTGATGGCATACCAGTGCTGACTTCATATCAACTCTCTGTGTCTATCACAAGTTAGTTTGACTTTGCCTTGGTTGCTATGGTATGTGTGGAGGTGCTCTATCATACCAGCTTTGCCAATGAGGATTGTTTTGGGAATATCCATCTGGAGTCTTTTTCCCAAGCACCATCTCGAAAAATTTCAATATTTGCTTCTATTCTCAAAACTCTCCTCTTCTGATCTATGCCTTTCTCTCAAAATTAGAAGTTACTAGTAGGACAGTTATCCACTATAAAATGTTCAGTTTTATTCCTTAAACCCATTACTTTTATCAGTCTACTTTTGAGTCTGGCTTATTTATTTCTCCCACCTTCCCAGTCATTTGAGATGTTTGGGTTTTAAATACACTTTCACTTGGAGAGGAGAGGGGTTTGGAGTTAAAGGTATAATCCTTTCCTAAATCACACTATTTTGTCATGGGGTTGTAAGCACAGTCTGTTGAATAAAAAGACTCACACAATATGGATTTTATGTAGGATTTGTGTACATTAGCTTGATGAAGTCTAGTACTAGTCGTTTACTTTGGTTTTTTGTTTTGTTTTTCTGTTTTGCTTTGGTTTCACGAAAAGGAAAATAAAATTCTGGCTGAAAATGTGTATGTAAATGTTTGGTATTACTATATTCACCAAACAGCACATCAATCTTTAGTCTACAACTTCCTGTGAAAGAGGAGGAAGACATTGTCTCAGTCTTTACTTTGGGTTCATACCCTTTTTAAAATTCAGGTCAGACCATCAACATCAATTTGACTCTGCTTTCACAGTTTGTGCTTACAACCATGCCCTAGAAAATCTCTTGCTTTTCACATACTTTAAGCCTACTGCAAACAAATCACACAAATGAAATAGTAATAAAGCTTTGTATTAAGCTTTTTATTATAGATTTTATCTACTATTTAAATTACAATTATGTCCAGAAAATTGGCAGTTGTAGTCATGCAAATAATGAAATTGATTCCAGTCACAGCCCATCTTCAAAGCCCCAGAATTCTCTTGACTAGTCCCGTAAAGGGGCTTATGGGTTGTTTTTTTTCTTTTACCCAGAGTTGGAGTTCTCTTTTACCTACTACTTTGAGTAGACTCAAAGGAGAAATACCAACAAGATATTCCTCAAGAGTCAAAACAACAAAAACTTTACTGGCAACTTCAGAAAATAAGGGAACCTTTGCAAAAGTTTAAAGTAACATTGAATCAACAGAAAGCATTTCACAAAGCATTAATTAAGCAGGCTGCAAATCCATTCAACTTGACAAACCGCAGCCCATCTGATTTTAAGTTACTTAGACTTCAATAAGAAGGAATTGAAAGAAAAAGAACAAAGAGAAAGAAGATATATGGAAAAGAACAAATATGACTACCACTGGTGGTTCCAGTGATCAGTACATTGCCTCTTGCTCTGGTGTGAGTACCCTTTGGCTTTCCTGGGCTCTTCTCCCAGGTGGGACATCTGGTAGCCACTCTGGGGCTGGGTTAGGGGCTCAGGGGCAGGTTTGGAATATTGCCTCCACTGTGCCACTGCAGGGCCGGGGTACAGGCTCTAGGGGGAGGGGTGGATGGAGCAACCCACTGCCTCACCAGGGCAAGGCTTGTCTTGCCCCTTCCCCCACACATGCAACCAAAATGTTGCATCAAGCCAGCAATCTCCTCCAGCCTCTCACACCATCTTTGCCTGGAAAGGAAATGCCAGTACTGTTTGAAAAATTAATTATTAAGAACTTTGGTTTACTCTAGGTAGCTCATGTGTTGTATTTGATAATATGGCATCTTGCTGGAAGAAAATAAGTGCAGTTTTTTCCTAGCCCAGCTTATTTTTTACACAAATACTTGGAGCAGGAGATAGAAACCAGTTAATAGTTGTGAGACATGTGGGAATAGTTGGAATAGTTTAAGCAAAGATGAACCATGATCCTTCTGAACGCCTCCTCTTTCCTGTGCAGTTTTGTCTCATCCTGCCTCAGAGTATGTCAATAAATTTCCTTTAAGCTCAGAAGATGCAGTGGGTTGGAAATAGTGATCTTGCTCTGGCTCTTTCTGTCTTTATGGGTTTTGTGGGAAATGATTTAAAACTGATATATTTTTGGATTGTCTGGTTCCAGCTAGGACAGGATGAATTTTTGCAGTAGCCAGGAGGGGGCATGGCTGAAACCCAGAGGTTATTTTCTATCATCTCACATGGTTGTTGGGGACGGAGGAAAGGGATTCTCTTGCGGGAAGAGGGGATCCTTTCGGTTGAGTAAGTGTGGCAGTGGCTCCGAGCCGGAGGGAGCGGTCGGGTCGGGCTCTGCAGTGAGCATTTTGCATGTAAATCACTCTCTCTCGTACACTTTTGTTTTTATTATTGTTGCTGTTGTTCATTTCTTTACCTCACTGCTATTCCTAGTAAATTGTTTTTATCTCAACCACGATTTTTTGTGCCTCAGTTCTCCTCTCCAGCCCACCACGGGGGTGGGGAAGGAGAGGGGTTGAGTCTGCTGCAGCAGGATTTGGAAAGTCTCAGTGGGAGCACAAAATTGGAGAGTGCCATTCCTAAATCTTGACATAAATAAAGGTACAAATGTATTGTGTAGGATACTTATAAATTAAAACAGCCTCGGGACCTTTGAATGCAACCCCACTTCAGTTATGGATATGCCACAAAGGGTACTGGTTTTGTTAGAGTGACATAATTATTTTCTCACACAAATTAATTATAAATAAAAATAAATTTACATAGAGGGCAGAATCTCTTAAACAAAACTGAAGAGGCAAGGGGTATACATATTTAGAAAGCAGAAAAATATCTGCATGGCTTATTGTTCACTTCTACTGTACAAGAAAACATTATACTGGAAATATGTGTTTTACATGAAGGAATAGATCAGGTGCCTATTTCCTGATGACAAATGAGGTATGCTGGATATATGATGCACATCTTCAGAACTGTGTACCTGAGGAAACTAATGGTGTCATTGCAAAGGCTTCGAGAATGCAATAAATATTAAGGAAATAACTTACATAAATGACTCTGTGTTGCTGTGCAGCACACTGTATGTAGTTGATATCACTGGTTCTGATCCATTATAGTCATCCTCAGAAAACAAAAATACTTCTTTGTGATATAATAATTATTAATCTTATGTGAAATATAAGGTCTTTCACATTGCCTACTGAGAAACTAGTTGTTTTGCTTTGTCTGAAGTGCTTGGTTTATAAATTACACTTAATCACTGAAAGTAGTTTTCTCATCTATGTCTGTCTGCTTCTCTCATGGTTTTTAGATAATCTGTGTTCTCTAACTAAATACTTTCAAACATCTTCACAGCAGATGATAACACCATTGCAGAATCAATGATGTTGAAATGATTAAATAATAAATCATGTTGTCTTCCAATCTAATTTATTAAGATAGCTAAAATGCCAACAAAATGAGCAAACAAATATACTATCTGATAGTTGTGCATCAGGGGAAGAAAAGAAAAATTAAATGCAACATGCTGAGCATTAAATGCTGAACTTTGGAGTCAATGACAAAGACTGTTGTATCATGTGGTTTGTGATGAAAAAAGTTGAACTTCGTTGATGAACTATTTTCCTAGGAGTACAATTTTTTTTTCTCATTTCTTATTTTCGGAAAACAATAATCACATTCAAGATAGATAGGGTAATATGGCAACTATCCATTGGAAATGTTGAACATAACCTTTTGGCTTATCTGTGGTCTGTAAAAAATGAAGAGTAGCTATTTTTTTTCCATGCTGATACTTCATCTTAATGCTATCTAACACAGTATTGTTAGTGGATTTGATGCTGCAAACATGTCTGCATTTAGAGATAGATACTTGGGGGAAAAAGAGCAGCTCTGTGTAGGAGCTGAGTTTTTCTGGTTTCCTGCTCAGTGAAACTAGAAATGTTTATTTTCCTCTGCCTACATGAGCTCAAGAACCAGAATGTCAACAAACTGCCTTTATTCCACCTTATGACTCTTGTCACTTGAAAGAGCACACAACATACAAGGTTGTCACCTTCAGCATGTTTAAAAGCTAGAGACCTAGCTTATTCAAATATGTGTTTAGAAACTAATGCAGTGACAGACAAAATTGTGTGGAGCTCAGCACATATACTAAACCATATGTATTGCAATAAACACTGTTTACAGGACAAGAAATCGTTTTCTTATTGCCAGATTTTACCAGTTCCTTTTACATGAATCTGTAACACAGGACCTTTTGAAACTTAATGATGGCTACACAATCCTTTTCCTACAGTCAGAAATTCTTTTACTCAACTATTCCTATTCTTTTATTTAGGACAGTGAAAAGAAAGGATTTATGAATAGACTTTATGCCATCCAGGAGGTGTGTGTCACTGTCCAGAATATCCTAGATGAAATCGCTTCCTTTGGTGAAAGGATCAAGAAGTAAGTGCTGACAGAGGTGCTGGATTGCTCTCCAATACTCTTTAACATCTTTTCCATATATAGAGGTATAAAATATTAGACTTCTACTTATTCTGGGAGAGTCCATTGTTCAAACTCATGTATATTTACTTTGCTTTATGAAGGCCTGCAGTCAGTTGAAATTATGTCATATTAATTCTGGTGTTTAGAATTATATTAATTGGGACAAAAATCAGAAGTAAGTTTTTTAAGTAGAACGGAAAGAGCATATTGTTGTGAGGTTGCTTTTAAAAGCGATAATAAAAAGTCCAATTTTGATAAAGGAAATAAGCAGAACTGAATAGGGGTTACATATTTTAAGTTCACTTGCTGGAAGTTTTATTTGTAGGTCAGCAAAACATTTCCCTTAGAGTATTTGTAATCTGTAACACCTAATACATAAATAAATACATATATAAAAACTGCCAACAAATCTGGGCATTAAGAAAGAGATGTTCTGAGATTTACTGCAGGAAATGTATTGTTGTATTTCTAGCATGATCAGTGGACAGCAGCACAAGGTTTATTACTTGAGGTCAGACAGGCTCCAGAAAGACACCTTCCAGCTGTCACCTGCAAAGCATGGAGAGGATTGACGTGGTGTTCTGCACTTCAAAAGCCAAGAGCATCTCACCACTACCCAATTCACTTTTAGAAGTGAATTTTAGGAAACCTATGCTTTGTGTGGAGCTCAGCCTGCAGGAATCCTGAGGATCATCTCTAATGCTTGTCTTGACTTGATGATGAGGAGATTGCCCTTTATGCATCTAAGAGCAAAGTCCCTAATAGGAAAGCCTGGGAATGTGTTCCCAAAGGGACAATACCAGGCAGGCTATGTTCACAGCAGGAGAGACAGGTGCAAACATATTGTCTCACACAAGTTCTTCAGTTAGAAAAATGAGCCAGTCTCTGAAAAACGTCCTTTATCAAAAGGCTGTTCATGGAAGTTGTCTTGATGATTAAGTAGTTCTAATTGTGCATTTTGAAGGTAGAATTTGTTCTATTATATACCAGATGAGAGCTACAGAATTTTGTAAACTGAGTGAGACTATAAATCTTTGTAATTTGCTCCTAAAACTATAATGGGAAACCTGTACTGAGTGCTGTGTTAACACAGCCCATAAGGAGCTTTGCTAAGTGAGGAGCCAGTGCTCCCACACATCATGGTGTGTCTGTGATCCATTGCACAAAGCCGAGTCACAGGAACATGAGCAGACCCTCAACCTTCTGTTCATCCCAAATGTGTACAGAAAAGGGGAAAAGAGCAGGTGTCCCCTGAGGATAAAGGGAGCGGTCCAACACTAAGTGACACTAACATAATGTTAGTGGAGACATGTCAAAATTGCCAGGGAAAAAAGAAGACAAATAAACACAGGAAGCCAGAGCTCACTATGAAAAATACGGCTTGCAATTCAGATAACTGCAGTTATTCATCTAGAGAAACCAAAATAATATAATCACATTGATTGAGAATGTAGCTAGTGGTAATACTTTAAAGACTATTTAGATCTTAAACCGCAGTCTGGATAAATGTCATGCAACACTTCTGAGATGGCGATGCCTTCATGGAACAAATCCACTGAACCAAGCTCCCTGTAACCAACGTTCCTATGGGACATCTGTATAAAATTGTCATCTGGTCTTTCTTTCTTCACTGAACGCAGGGGTTGGAGAGCCACAGCACCCTGTTTCAAGATCCATTAACTCTCCCTTCCGCACACCTCAATTTTGCAGAATGTGGTGACCAGCAGAGTTTTATCAGAATAGAGTCTGGGACCCTTAGTGAGGATGTTTTTATCTGTGACTTTTTTTGGAAAGGTAATGTCCTGAAACTCTGATGGGATCCCAGAAATTCTCTTCCTTTATTCACAGATAAATATTCTTTACTTATTTAATGTTTTTTTATTATCTTTTTTTTTCTTTTGACATCCAGAGGCTTTTTATCTCTTCCCTCGACCACTGCTGTTCCATTATCCCTGTCTTCATGACTAAATTCTATCTCTTCCTTTTTTATCCCCCTAGCTCTCTCCTTCTTAACTTATAGATGAGTTTCCACCTTTGCATAGCCATGCACTTGCCTTTTCCTTTTCCCCCAAGCTGGAAGGCACCTGGCTGAGGAGTACGCTTATGCCTTAGACAGAGGGGAATGTCCCTATTCAGCCTTTAACTGCTTGTGCTGTCCTTATAGTGGCATAGGGAAGAGATAAAACAAGGAAGCCTTAGCAGTACTCTTCCAGCAATTGTATCCTACTCTACTACGGTGTTGAGAATGGAATGTAGATTACCTGTGTGAGTACATATGGGGAGTAGGGAGCTCTGTGGGTTTTGCCTGATGCTGAAACTGGGGTTAGGAGGTGAGATTTTTGAAAATCAGAGAAGTGATTCACCTGGCAGATGTGCAATGCTGGGCTGGGAGAGGTGAATTCAGAGACCTCTCATTTCTACTGACAGTGAGTCCAAGCCCAGGCTCTCCCTAGTGAATGACAAATGCATCCATGCCTTCATTAGTAGACTCAGTTTGGTCTCTCTGATGAAAACTGACATTTCTCCCACTGTCCTTTGCTCTTTTTTTGGCTTTGTTGGCTGACCTCACTTCTGACTTCTGTTAATTTTTCCTTAGTACATTCAACTGGACTGTCCCATTCCTGAGCTGGCTGGCCATTGTTGCCCTCTCTGTGTTTACCGTCATCCTGTATTTCATTCCACTGAGATACATTGTCCTTGTCTGGGGTAAGTAAAGCCCTTTTAAACTGTCTAAACCACTTTAAAAACCTGGCTTTTAATGGATGACTTACACTGACAGTACTTTTTGGCACTTATGGTCATGAAGCTGCCCTATGATGGAATTAGGAATGTTAGTTTAAAATTGCAACTGTGGAAATATTTAGGCTCACCTGCAAAATGCATTTTTCTTGGCTGGCATTCTGGACTTAATCATACTATAAACATGTAGCCACGAAGATTCTTCATATACCAAAGTGTAGCTTTATCTAGATATTACTCTGATTTATTTTCACCACTTATACACAAACAGAGGCATTTCAATCTATATAGTGCGTTTAGGACAATATGCTTTTTGCTGCAGTACTCTATCTTGTGAAAGTGTAAGCAAATATAACAGCAAGAATTTAAGGGGTCACCTTTAGACAGAAAGGAGTAGGTGGTATTTGACTGGTTGATAATGAATAGAAACTCTAGGCAGGTTGGGGGATGGAGTTATGATTGATCCAAGCTTTCACTATTTGTGCTTATATCTATTCTTTATACTGATTTTAAAAAGTTACTATTACCACATCTGTTGTAAATAATGATCCAGGTTTTAATTTTTATATCTCTTCATACATGTTACACCACCAGCAGCTGTACCCTTACCCAGTAGCAGACTCATGAAGAGCACAATCTCAGTTACATTAGTGGCTAGATTTTCTTTCAGAAGAAAGAATAGCAATCACACTTTTGTGAAAAACTTTTGAATTCAGGAGACAGCATAAAATTATTGAACTGGCTCCAGAGAATCTATTTTTTGTTTATCAGTCAGTATTAGTAATTTTCTTAGAATGTTTTCTCAAATGATCATAACTAAAGCAATAAAGAGGATATGAACAAAAGTATTTCTACAGAATAACAAAAGTAAGCATATGGGCTTCCTTTCTTTTCCTGTCTTTGACTTTTACTTATTCCCCCACACCACACATCACTGAAGTGTAACCCAAACTCTTCGTTTGTTCCCAAAATTTAATTTCTTGTGCACAAAGAGGAAGTTTGAAGTATTTGTCTATGTCCTTTTTCTGTCATTTTTCAGACAGGTCTGAGACCTTGCTTTTTTACATCAAGTTTGATACAATAACCTAAGATTATATTACCCCTCCACGATCCACATAACTCTAGAGCCAGAACTTTTATTTGAAAAGATCATTACTCATACCTCTGGAAGTGTCACACTCCCACAGAAATATCTCTGTTTCAGGTAAGGAAGAGTCTCAACTCCCAAATCTCCCAATCCATGATGGACAGCATAAGTACAAATTATTATAAATGCACCTTGCACTCTCTTCATCTCTTCCCTCCCTGCCTTCGAGTTACATAGGCTATGTACATAGAATTTCAAGCCCCTTTGTTCACTAGAGGTTTTGACTCCACATTTTTCTGCTGCATTTCAGTTGAGGTGACTTCTTACTCAGCAAGTGTGAGTGGATCCCTTCTTTAGGAACCTTTTTCTCTTGCATCATGGCAGGAGACCAGACAGGTACTGCATAGATGCAGATCCTACAGTCTAGACCTCCTCAGGGTGAAATGAATTCTCACAGAGCCGTGTCTGAGCTGAGCATAGCTTCAAGCAGCTGTCCCTTCAAAAATGGCAGTTTCCAGACACCTGTTTTCTCCATCACCATGTGTTTCTAGCATCTCCTGTGTATATTTCTTCATCTTGTTCATCCATCCTGTCTGTGGAAGCCATTGATTTATCTTTTTGACTTACTTCCATAGGAATGTTTGAGCTGGTTTGTAGCAGCATCTGCCCATTTTGTTCTTTGAAAGGCAGAGTCTTCAAATGAAAATTTCTTCGTACTGTGTGTCGTAGTATAGCTGTCTTTCTTCAGTGCATCCATAGGGTCTGCCCCTTTCAGCCTGCCCCACCAAGAAATTCTCCATTCTTTCCTGGCTGGCTCTCTCCCAGTGGAGACTACCGGTCCTTGAAGGTGTGGTGTGTTAGATGAGGTGGAGCAGGAACCACCTCTCCATCCTAGTCCCACTTGATGAAGTGCTTAGTCCTGGTAGCAGTTACAGCTGTTCAAGTGGAAAAAAACTATAATTCTTTTAATCTGAAAATTTTCAAACTGCTGGAAAGGAAAATGCCCTTGTTGTATTCTGCTTCTCCTGTCGTGTCTCCTCTCATCTATGTAGCACTTCTCCTTCTCAAGGACTGACTGATATTTTTTTTATCAGATGTGATAAAGTGAGATTGTATAATCTGAATTCACTCATAGATTAAGTGGTTTTCACATTAAATTTTGCAGTCATTTGCTGATGCAAAATATCTTCTTAAACAAGGTGTTTGAATGTCAGATATTCTTTCTGAACACTCGCTATCCAACACCATAGGGCAGCATCTCCTATCTACACTGTGGAACTGAAGGTTCATGCAGTGGGAGGCTGTGGGTGTTGTTGACACTGAATCTTGCATGCCTCATCCAAAGGCTTTATGCCCTTTCTAAAGTTTTCTGAAAAGTCTAGGCATCAAAGACTTTGTGGAAGATAAAATGTGTTATCTTACATCTGATAGAGCATGGATAAATTACACAGAAAGACATATTTTCAATAGTGTCCTGGCTTTGTCCTGCTCACATGAGAATCATGAGAGTTTACGCTCTTCCTGTCTATGTTTTAGACATGTGTTCCCAGAGCCTACCAACCAGGTTCTCAAAGTGTATGAATCTGACTCGGCATGTAATGATAAGAAAATAAGTCTAATTTAAAGGCCTGCTTTCCGATTATTTTGTGGATGATTTTTCTTGGTGCTTCTGAACACTAGTTGTCAATAGGCATTATAAGACCACGATATCTAAGGGAGACATACCGTCTCTTCTCTGCACTGCCAGCAGCTCTATCATTCCCACACAGAGGTTTGTGCAAAAAACCCTCTCTTTCTCATATGAAGTCTCCTCTAAAGCTTTCATATGATGCAGACTTCATTGCTTCCCGTAAGTTTTATTGTCCTTAGCATGAAAAATACTTTCCTTGAATCTTCTGAATCTTTTTGTGTTCTCCAATTAAGCCCATTTCTGTTCATCCTTTCTGTTACAGAAATTAAATACCTTTTATGCCTCTGTTTTTCCTAACTTCCTCGTAATAATCACAGTTTCTGTTATTTCCCAAAAAATGTATGGAAGGAATTTGAAAATGTCCCTAGAACTTTTGCATTTTGAAACAGGAAACCACAGAAGCGGAGTCCAACCTTTGGAGCCCCAGTTTACAATTCATACATTCATTCAGTGTTACTATCAGGATTTAGAATGGATCCTAAAATCTGTTTTAAAAGTTTGCCAAAAATATGTATCTTTTGATATCTTATATCTTATGATAGTAACATTTGAACTTTCACTTTTGCAGGCATCAATAAATTTACAAAGAAGATTCGAAATCCGTATGCAATTGATAACAACGAGCTACTTGACTTTCTGTCCAGAGTCCCTTCTGATGTGCAAGTGGTGTGTATATTTTTTATGGGTTTTTTTTGTTTGGTTGGTTGATTTGCGGTTTTTTTAAGAATTTTTAAAACAGTTATTTTAATTTCGTGTTATATTCTTTGGCAGAAAGAAATTACATACTCAAGCTGAGGATAGTCCATGAGCCATAAAGAGGATGCTAGAGCTTTTTGCAGTGAGAAGGAAGTTCCTGCATTGGTTGTGCCTCCGAGGATCCATAGGAGCAATCAGTAGAAGGACAAGTATTTGTGAGATGGTAGCAGATGCTTGAGTTTGTGCTCTACATCAGCACAATGTGAATCTGACTAGGATAGGACACCGTGTAGGAAATGCTAGAGCTGAGGCTCTCAGGACAGGCAGAGAAGGAACAAGAAGTTCAAATAATGGAAGAGGCAGGCAGCACTGCCCAGTGTCTTGTGACAGCACTCTGACAGCACTTTGGCCTTTCCTTTCCACAGGTGAAAACTTTTGCTGTGGCCACATTTCAACTGTGCTTAAAAACTGTAAAAAAAAAAAAAAAAGCAAAAAGCTGGTTGTATGGTTGTGAATTACAAACTTTTATGATGCAGTACACAATCCCCAGAGAGCATGCAAGATTTAAGATAGCATCAAGCACATAAATCACGTCCAATGTCACAAAGAATATAGACTTCCTGTATTTCTAGTTTCAGTTCAGAGCTGGTATTAAGTAGGAGATGTGGGTGCAAACACCCTCTCTGTATCTGATACCGTTTGTGGTAGGCATTTAGAAATAACCAAGTTTTTAAAAAACGTTACAAAGAATGCTTTCCAATATGGTCAAGATGATGTTTATTGTCTGCTAGAGCTCGTGGAAAAAAAACCAAAAAAAATTTAATTTTTTCTAAGTTTACATCAACATGCAGTGTTATTTCCTAGTAGGATTTTCCTGGTGTTGGTTTTCCTTTTTATCCTAGATCTGTCATTCTGTTATTGATGAATCACATCTGCAAATCCTGTGTCATTTTTAGGGGAAGTATCTTTTTTAAAATTTTTTTATTCCCCTGGCAGAAAAAAAGAAATATCTTTTTTTTTTTTCTAACAAGTGCCAACTGACAACTTTCTTTCTGAACTTTGTGTTTAAACAGATGCAATACCATGAACTGAAACAAGATCCTACTCACAGCCCAAGCAAGAGAAAGAAAAACAATCCTGCCTAGCCAACTTCATGTGTGGAGGAGACCAGCATCTGCCAGGGGAAGATAAAAGAGCAAGCCTAAAAGTTTTCTCTAAGCTTTTTATTTATCTTGCCTTTTTATCTAGTGGGCAGATTTTGTAACATTATTAAAAGGTGTTTCTCATGGAAAATCTATTTCTCATTGTAAAGACATTTGTTTCAAGTAGGGTTTTTGCCATTTTAAAGCCTTGCTAGAAACAATGTAACACATTGAATGAGAAGATCTAAAGTGGAGAATATATAGTGCTACTTAGTGGTCAAATATACATGAGATAGTCAAATCATGCCAGCCAAATCTACAAAATGTTTAACGTTAAATCTGACTCAGAAATTTCTCAGATTTTATTTGTGAGCATTAATATTTTTATCCAATCCGTCATCATTACAATTTTCTATGTTTTATATATTGCAAGAGAAGTACAATGAAGTGGAGCCTACTGCACTTAAGTTTTAGCAGATTTTTTTAAATTTCAGACCCTGATGTTAACTCCTGGTGCAACATTTTTCTACGTGGTAGGGCTGCTTATAAGACAGTGAGAAACACCAAGTTCAAATCTCTTTCTGGAGCTCCCAAAAGCACTTTCTGCTGTCTTTATCATTCCATTGTAAAACCTAAAAATCTCTGTTTCAAAATACTGCCAGGTTTGTAACTGATTGCCTATCATATTTTTCTACATGTACCAGTAGTCTTCATTTGTACTACATAGCTTAGCTCTAATGGGTCAGACTAACTCCATACTGCTTTGGGTGTCATGCTATGAACACTTTTTGTGCACATAACTATTTTAATATGGATATCTTGCAGAAAAGGTTTTTCATTCAAATCACAAGACCATATTAATATGCTTTATGGTATAACATTACCTGTTACCAATGTGAAATACTGTGTAGAGGAAAAAAATGCAGTTGTGGTAAAACTGATATAGCAGGGTTTTTTCCTTAGTTCATAATGTCGGTTCTTCTGATATGATCTTTCCCTACTGCATGGAAACTATATTATCTTATAAATTACATGGAACATAGATGAGAAACATTTACATTTCAAATGTCTTAGTGGCAACTGCATAACGAGTACTTGGGGATATATTCTGGTAGCTGCATGCAGACATCCACACTCAGCTCCCCACACAGTGAGCAGAGACTCATTCCTGAGGGACTTCCTGTGCACAGCTCCTCATTATGGTTCCCAGTGACATTAAAGGGGATTTTTGCCCAGGGGAGAGCGAGAGGACTGCATCCTCACGAGGGGCTGTGGTCCTCTGTGGATTACCTCTCACTGGTTGCAATTGCAGATAAAGTTATATTGCACTACTCTAAAAATACTTTTTGAAAAGTGTATTTAGAAATACTTCGCAAGCACATGTGAGTATGTATTTGTCCAGAGAAATATGTGTTAGCTGCATTGCTCACAAAGGATCATCCTGGATTTCTTTATTTTGCAGATAAAATGATAGCCAAGTTCTTATGTGACAGTTATTTTGATCCTTCTGTTTGTACGTTTAAAAGAATGCCAATCGAATTGTCTTCAGAAAGCCTTGGGCCTAAACAAGCTCTTATTACATCAAGACTTTGAAAGAGTTTAATTTTGCAGCTTGTATAACCTTTTGGCTGTATCCTACCTGAAGAGCAACGTACTATGGGTAAAATTAGAAGCACTTGTTAGCCTATTTTGTTTTAAAAAAACCAAATTTGTGACTCAACAAGATGTGAATGTTTGTTGCCTGTCAATTTTGCACATTTCTTTAATACAGTGCAAGCCTTGTACCTTCTTAACGTTGCCCACCAGCCTGCGTGTGATTTCTTGTCTTTTTTTTTGTACACAGTTTCAAATGTCTACTTTGGTAGTAATATCTGAGCTGGTTATGCACGTTTCCTGCATTAAACACACTTCTAAGCATCACTCTATTAGGTATTCTGAAGCCTCTGTCTTTGAAATCCTATGGTGTCATTTTTCCAAGAGTGCTGTGATGGTCAAGTGAATGAAAACATCGTATTTCTTTGTGCAGGATTTTAGTATTTTAAGTTCCCTAAGATGCAGGGGGAGGGGGCAGGGGGACAAAACCATCTATTTGTTGAAAAATGGTGAACTCCTTTTAAATGCCTCAGTCACTTAAAATTGATCTCATTGAAAATATAACACACAGAGGCAAGGCTAAGAATGCTTATTGATTAAATATCATTCTCCTGCCACAACGAGACAATTTAAAATCACAATTTAAAAGAGTTTGTGAGCAAACGCATTTTCACTATTTGCTGTTTGTCTATGCTGCTTTGTGTAGGTGGCCTCTGTAAAGAGCCAGTCCTGCCTTATGCCATAAATATTCCAACATATCTTCCTTTTCTGGACTGATTCTGAATTCCATTTCTAACCTGTTGGATTTGGCAGGTTTTATTCCAAAAGCAACTTGTGTGTTCATAAGCAATCAAAAAAGAATAAGACATCTCACAATCATGAAATTGTTTCTGTTCTCAGGAAATAAAATTTATGTGGATTCATAGAAAATCATTAGTTTAATTGGGATCCATATTTAGATTGGATGTCAGAGCACTCAGAATCCACTAAAGCTGATCTGTCTGAGAGACTTTTATTACATTTCTGCTGATAGCTCATAGTAGAGACCTTTCTTACCCTGATTTTAAAGTTGTTCCTCTTTGTAAGAGCACCTAAGTATTTTTCATAATAGCAATGAGCTTTTAACTGGAAGAGCTATGAATTGTAACTTAGTATTTTAAATCCAAGTGCAATAACCCCAAGTTTGGGGTTTTTTTCTATTGCAATTAAACGAAGAGTGGAGTAATGAGAAAGTTATTAAGCAGTCTGCATACAGTCTTTCTGCTAATTTGGTCCCTGAACATAGGGTTTACCAACAAGAGGAAAAGCTGCCAGCAAATGCACAGCACAATGCTAAGGTATTTCACGTGAAGATAATCTAGGAGCACGAAGTGAAGGAGGTAAAGAAAAACTTATTTCGTTCATCATTGTTAGATTACACATGCGTGTATACTACACAGACCATAAGGAAAAGCTTTGTAGCTCTCTGCTCAGCAGCCAGAGATCCCTCTGGTTTAACTCACTTGTGGTGTAACACAGATCAAGTGCTTTGTGGCAGAAACTCTTCAGTTGACACTGACCCACTTGCATCTCCACCTGAATTCCCAGAATCTGCTCCAAGCCTCTACCACCTTCTCACTGAATGATAACAGCAAAGGTATTGGCTTTTTGTTGAGCTAGGTACTCTGCAAAAAAAAAAAAAAATCTCTTTTCCAATGGTGTTTTTGCCGCATTATAGGAGAGACTTTGCTGACTTGCACTGTGGTGCACTGACCATTTCTCTCACTTGCAAAAATTTAGATCTCAGAACCAGACTGCTGGGCACGTCTGTCCTTGAGTTACATTCATAAAAGGAGTTTTTTTGTTGCCTCTTGAATAAATACAGTGAAAAAAAAAGAAAAATATTTTCCTTCCCATAGAATCTCTAGCCCTGGGACATGTAACAAGCCCAACAAGCAAGTGTACTTGTATCAGGAGGAGTCAGTTGTTTACAGTCATGAGATAATGGTTTGATCAGAAGTGCAGCTGGAGACTAAAGCAAGTCCTTTCCTGCAGTGTTTGTATTCTGAACTGAACACATCTGTTGGGAAAAGTTAAGAAGAAATGGAGAAGGGCCTGGATTGCTTAAATAAAAGATTTACTGAGAAATTGGATAACTACCAAACATACCTTCAATTCTTGCAGGATTTTTTTTTTTTTTTAAGGACTGGGATTTTTGTAAAAGACAAGCCTTTCTGCACTATGTTTCTAGAAGTATCTTTCTTACTTAGAAGAAAATTCAGTCACTGCTCTTTGCTGAGGCAGAGAACAGTTTTGGGAAGACAGGAGTGGAAAACAGTTGAGGAGGAGTATAGAGTATTATAGAGTATAGTATAGAGTATTATAATGCTGGAGTTTTCTCTTCACAGTGCAGATACATGCTTCTTTTATATTTCCCCTGACATGCTTACAGAGACTACAGCTCAAAATCACGGTTACATGCACACAGGTCCAACAGCCACCCCATTCCCCATCTCTTCCCAACTTCAGACCTGCTGATGGCATGCCACGGACTTGGCCCTACACCACTAAATGTAAAGGGCCCCTCTCTCCTTTTTTCCACTTTGGCCTGCAGTCTCTATGTGACCAACCTCTTGATTTCCAGGTCACTACTGATACTGGCAATTAAAGCTCAACTAGAAACTGTTTGCCATGTCATCCTCCCGTGCTTCTTCTCCCTATTTGTTCCTTTGATAGGCTGCTTTTCATCATCCACATTCTTTGACTATTTCACTGTTTTATAGATGTAACTCCTTGACAATATGGTCACAAAGTTTCAGCTGCTGGTTTCATGTCAGCACTTCAGGTTTCCCTCACATACGTCCTACCCTTGAAGCTCAATGTTTGGTTTCTCACTGCTACACTAAGCAGTCTCTACTTTTCTTGGACCTCCAGTGACTCCCATTTAGACCAATCTCCTCACACATTCAGACTTTGTTGATTCCTCACTCCCTGGTGGTGACATATTTTGAAGCTGTTCTCCTTAATAGGGCAGAAAAGAATAGTCGAGGAAATTAAAATCCAAGTTTAAGGAAAAGAAATTTCTGGAAGTTGTATAACTGTTCCTGCAATATGCATGCACCTTGCTGTTGGTTACTGGCTTTTGAAATGTCTGAGCTTGCAGTTTTGCTCTGTTCTAGTTAAAGGATTTGGACCTCTGTGTAACTTGCATCAAGTCATAGTAGGCATTTGATCTATGGGGAAAACAATTAACATAAATGCATGCCGAAGCAGAAAGCATGTAGTTCATGAAGATGGTGTCTAAAATTAACAGTTGTAGCAAGCACAGGTTGCTTGGGGTTGAAGAGGATTGTTTTAATGTATTCTCCATCATGGAAAATGAGTTTTCACTATGCAATTTACTGTTCTTTGTAAAATCCTCTGATTCATAATTAAATACAACACTATGATTTTTGCAGCTTGGGTTCCTTTTCTACAGAATAATGTGTAGGCTGCACTTTGAGGAGACAGTCTCATAATAAAGAGTGGCATTTGAATAATAAATTAATTTTTAATTATCTGATGCTTTCCATCACTTGGTGTTAAAGCTGTCAAATGTTAGGAAGTTTAAAGCCAGGGTTTATGTTTACCGTTTTAAAGTTGTGATAAAGCAAAGGGAGAGTCAAAAGAGAATCACACTGCCTGCATGATGCAGGGAATTTGCACCTGCCAGTCAGCAGTAGGAAACTGGCCTCATGTATTATTGAGGATACAGAAAGTTGAGCACTGGAAGTGTGCTGTCCCAGAGCTGCCAACACTGTGTGTGGCTGACAATAATGGCTGTAACAGTAATGGCTATAACATGGCAGTACATGGCTGTAACAGAGGAGGCATGAGATGCAGTTTTTGTGAAGAGCTTTATAGAGCATCTGCCCAACTGCCTTGTCTCAAGCAAGTGCATTAGCTCATCATTTTTGTGAATGCTAATTTAAACGATCAGTGTACAATAGAAAAATGCATAATGGTGCTAGGGAAGGAGGGAGTTTCTTGGGCGTTCTCTATCTCAACCTGAATGTTAAACCCTCTTTCTAGTCTGAATACACAGGTGAGGACATGTGACATACATCACTGCAGTTAACTGCGAAGTCCTGAGCTTTTAGAAACCTCAGTTACCATTCTGAAACTTCAGTTCCTTTGCACAGAGTGTTTCCAGGGCTGATACTGGACAGTAGCCATTCCCCTTACATCACACAGACATGCAACAAGGCAAGACCACATATCTCAAATTCCCCCATCTCAGTTATAAGAAATATGTAAACTCTGATGTTATTTACAATAAATGTGTTTTAAAACTAATTTCTTAGTCCAGACATGCAGTGATGAAATGCAGTTGACAGCTTTTCTCCAAGTTTCAGCCCTATTCAGCCTGTTACCAAAGGCAGATATTTGGCCATGAAAGAACTACAGACATATTATATGTGTAGACTCCTTATAATAGAATCTGCTATTATATGAGGAAATAAATTTTCAGTCTTAACCCCTAACCAGGCTACTTAATCCAGAGGACACAGATCAAATGGACGAGTATTTTTGTAAGGCCTGTGACATTAAAAGAGAGGAAGTTTGATGGGTACACTATTTGATGGTTAAGGAATTGGCTGAATGGCTGCACTCAACAAACAGCTCTGTGTTGAAATAGGGAACAGTAGTAAGTGGTGTGGTTCAGGGGTCTGTCCCAGGACCAATACTATTCAATGTCACTATCAATGACGTAGTGGGATTGAGCGTATTCTTGACATATTTGCAGATGGCACCAAGCTGAGTGG